TATATATTGTGTTTTAAATTCTGGAAATTCATTTATGGGTCATATATGTTTATGATAAGAAGGCCGGAGTTTAGTAGCGCTGCACACTGAGTTTACTACCACCTATGTTCAGAGTAATTCCCTTGTCTCCTATGTATAATATGAAATCTTGTTTTTCCTTGATTTAAATGCAAAATACTTATTCACGGCACACGCTTATTGAGATTTTTTCTTAAATCTCACCCCTTTAAGTTTTTCCATTTTCAGGAAATTGAGATCGTGAGTTTGGGATTGGTAATTCGGTCGATGATGACAGAAATTTTATTTTAATTAAAAAGGGAATCTTTTTTTTTTTTTTCAGATTTCAAATATGATTTATGGTTGTGAATAAAATGTTCTTTCATTTTATTTTGTCCTTGAAAGAAAAATTATTTTTATTGATGAATAAATTGATGTTAATTTTATCACTTTGGACTCGATATGTATTTATTCTTTTGAATTAGTAAAAGTTTGAGTTTTCGAGAAATCAGATCGTTACAAATGGTATCAGAGCGGGTCTACAATTTTGTAGACAAAAAAAAATCGTGACATAAACAATGAACGAGTCACTGTTCATGACGTGAACAGTGGCCTATTCCATTTTTTTAAAAAAAAATCATTTTTTTACACTGTTTGAACAGTGACTTGACGTGTGTATGTTTAGGTGGTTTCACCATTTTCTCTCTTTAAAAAGAATTCTAGGTTTGACTGTGTTGTTGATTTTAGTTTTAAAAAAAAAATCATTTTTTTTCTGTTCATGACGTGAACAGTAACTCAAGTGACCATTCCATATTTTAAAAAAAAATCATTTTCATTTCCCAACACTGTTTATGATGCAAGTCACTGTTTTAAATAAGAATGCTATCACACGATGCCACGTTCCAAACTCCGATGCTCCTAAATTAAGTAGAATGGTATACAAATTTCATTTCATATGATGGCGACTATGTTATGATCATGCTTGAATTTTTTTTTTCAGTTTACAATTTTATGAAAGATTATAAGTCAATTAACGATTATGTGGACAAATATGTATGAAGTTGCAACTAAATAAATTAGACCTTAATTTATTTATAAGAAGTGTGTTTATGCCATCATGATTTATGTTCAGTGTGTAGTCATGAAACGATATGGTTAGCCGCTGGTTTAAATTGAATAGGTAAGTGATTACAAAATTTATTTTTTTAGATGGTTAATAGACGCACGCAATCGGCTAGAGACCAGGCCTGCAGACGTGAAATGTTCATAAGGTTGCATAGGACATATGTGAGGAATCCAAACCACAACCTGTTGGAGCATTTAGATGCTATAGAGCGAATTATCAGGGGGGCGGGGAGTAATGGACATGAATTTCAGAGAGATGAGATTGTCTATCATC